CGCTCCTCACTCCCTTCCGCCCCTCCCTCCTTCCTCTCCCTCTATCCCCTCCCCTCCCTCTATCCCCTCCCTTCCCCCCTCCCGCCCTTCCCCCCCCCATTTCCTCCCCCCACCTGTCCCGCCCTAAACACAGAGCTGCTGGTGACCACATCCGGGGAGTTGACGAACAACCTGACATGGACCGGGGGGAGAGGGGAGGGGTCCCGGGGGGAGGACAGGCAGGGCCCCAGGGGGAGGCCGGTTAAGGGACACACGAGCCCACACACCACCCTAGCAGCGGAGGGTGCCGGTGTGCCCGTGTGCCGGTGGGGGTCAGGTGGGCTCCTGGGGGGCCTAGGGCGCTTTCCTGGCCCGCATTCACACACAGATATACACACATACTGACACACACTTACACACACACACATATATATATGCACGTACGTAAACGAACACACTTACATACATACCGCAATGATGATCAGCAGTAGCTACAGAACAGCAAGGCACCTGCTGCCCCCCCCCCAATCCAGCTCCTCCCGGCATCTCTCGGCCCCTATCGGCTGCCCGCACACGTCCCCGCACAACCTCATCGTCCACACCACCTCCTACGACACCGCGCCCGCATCAATCCCCGGGCGGTCCCCAGCCTGCCGGCCTTGTCCCACCCGTATCGCACACAGTTTGGCTTCCATCCCCTTTACCCCCCTAAACCCCCCCGAACCCCCCCCTTTCGGCGGCCCTTTCCTCCCTCGTACCAGGGCTAACTGGCAGGCATGCAGATAAACATACGTACAGATAGACAGAAACTGTCTATCTGTATGTAAGAGATATTCACTCACTCACTCTTGTATTGCGAGTCTTTGGAATCCGAATGAGGCCAGGAAGTCCCGCCAGGCCCCCACGGGCGCGGTCAGCAGGGGCGGGTGGCGCTCCAGGAGGGGCCCCAGGGACCGGCGGGGAACTGAGTCAGAGAGGGCGGACAGGCTGGAAGATAGCTGCCGGGGAAAAGGGAGGCCGGCGGGGGGGATCGGGGAAGGGTTGGGGAAGGGGGAAAATGGAAGCAGTCAAAAGAATGGGACGAGTGGAAGAATGGGAGCGATTGCGGGGGAAAGGGTACCAGGGCTAAAAAGGACAGGCGGCGTGAGCCTTCCCTGCGTGATGTACGCTACAAGGTGTACGCGATCAGGAGTTTCTGACCATGTATAAAGCAGCAAGCAGTTGTGGGGACATACCGGACAACTGGATCGCTCACAAGTTCATGATCAGCTGTTCGAAGCTCCGGATGTTTGAGGACCAGCTCAGCGTTAGCGCCCACGGCTTGGAGCTGCTGCGCGAGACTTGTCGTGACATCTTGAGCAGGCTGTGCGGACGGAGCTCTAGGTAACCTCTGGTTATGGTTACGCTTTTGTAAATAATGTGCAGAAGCGGGATGTGACTCGTGATGCAAACGAGCTACGCTATGTATTGTAGGGTTGTGGACATCAATATTCAGAGTCGTTGAGCTGTTGGGCCGTATACGGACTGCGCAGCCCTTCCTGACGAGCATCTTCTTACTTCTCTGCTTATGGCATATAGCATGAGAGTAGAGAGCTCGTCAAGCTCGTGTTAAGACATTTGCACGTACCAACGGTCGATAACGGTTTCAACTTGGCAGCACCACGCGACCACGATATTGGTGTATCGACTATCTTTAACGAGCATAGATATGAAATAAAATACTAATATATGTTTACCAATTTATTAGGATGCAATAAATAGCTTTCGGTGATCACTTGACCAGGCGGGCGACCGTGCTGCGTGACGTTGCATTATGCGATTTGGTGTCTATTCGCTACCGCTGAATAAAACAATCTCTTCTCTAGCTCCAAAATTTTGTGGGGCGGTAGTTTGTAGGGCTTCGTCGCGAGCCGATGTGGGCCACACCGACAGGCCACACACATTGTATGGGCTGCTAGGCATCAAGCGTTCTGCAACGCGTGCGGAAATAAAAGCAGCGTATCGTAGTGCAGCAAGGCGGCTGCACCCAGACACAAACGCATCGCCAGCGGCCCAGGACGATTTCCAGGTCTGCAAAGACAGAGCTCTCCTTTTGCCCGTTTTCACACCGTCATTGCTTTGCGGCCCACCAAACTCCACAATGCACCGGGACTCGCCCCAACACACACATCGCAGCGCATCAAAGCAGCGTACGAGGTCTTGGTTGACAGCCGGCTACGAAAGGTGTACGACAACCTGGGTCTCATAGCACTTGGTCCTAAGTTTTCGGAGCTACATAGCTACCTGGGATACGGAACGGAATATGCCGGTGAGAATTGTGAAAACAACAAAACAGTCAGACACATACACGAAAATCTTGCACGGTGTAAGTTGGGAAAGCCGCCACGCACACGCGAGCGGAGTGAGGAGGTCGGAACAAGGGCCCCCGGAAACTGACGAACACTTCACCACAAGAGCCCCCACGCTCCCAAATCTTTTTTTCCGTTCACCCCCATTCTCTTCCCATGTCCGGCGACCGGGTGGTACCCTCCGGCAACACCCCAACTGGACACTCCCACCGGCATCGGTGCCTTGCCTCATTGCTGCGTTGTTGAAGCCCCCCCCATGCCCAGCCACCGCATGGATCCATAAACTCCCCACAACACAACAGAAAGCAACACAGCACACCACAGCACACCAACCCGGGGCCTCCCTTCCCTTTCCGGCCCGCCGCGCCCCCAGGTGCACCAGGCAGTGTACGGCAAGGTCCTGGTGTTCGCGGTCGCGACGTGCACCTGGTGTTGGGCCTTATGCTGAGTGAAGCTGCCCAGGGAGCTTACAAGATACTGTCGTACAACGCCATGTCGGCCTGTGAGGATTGTCAAGTGAGGTGGCAATCCCGGTGGCCATTGCCCATCTAAGTGTCCAGACTAAAATTGTCTGTATGTTGATATCAGTTGACCCTTCCCAACTTGCACCCACCATCATCATCATCGACACCATCATCGTATCAGCTTCCCTCTTCCCCCCAAATCAACGCCGGCAGTTGACCGTTTCATACTTGCGTCTCCTCCTTCTTCTTTCATATCCCTCACCCCACCCCACCCCACCCCACCCCACCCCACCCCACCCCACCCCACCCCACCCCA